TGTAAATCTTTATGGGAGCAGAACGCCTCATCTTTCTCCTGCGGAACAGCTGGTAGTTTTGAACTGCTGACCTTGCGGTTCGCAGCCCGATTCGTAATAAATGATAGCACAAAATAAATAAATGGGGGACAACACATAATACAATTTCACATAATTTATGTTGTTGCTATTGTTAAGTGCTGTCAAGTCAATTCCAACTCATAGCAACCCTTTGCAGGTTTCTGAGGAGCAGCTAGTGGGTTTGAACTCCTTCCTTACCTTTTGGTTCACAGTCCAGTGCTTATTCTACAGTGCCATACCAGTAGCCAGATAATTTATGTAGATGAATTATGATCTCAAGGAGGTTCCTTAAAGAGTGAGCTGTGCATAGTAACTTCCTTCCAAAGATGGGAGTATGAATATGAGGAGCAAAAGAGGAACTTTACTGTAGAGAAACCTGACAAGCATTAGTTCAGTCAGGTGATCAAATCGAGCATCTACACTGATGTCATGTTGGTAGCATAGATGAGGTTAACCTGTTAAAAAAATATTGATTAGAAAATACGTCGGTACTTAACATTCACAAAAGCGTAACAGTACACATATTTTCTAAGGAAAAATAACTGTGCCACTTACCTATCCTGCTGTTCCTTTGAATATCTTTGAAAATTATGTATATGTTGTTGTTGTCAAGTGCTGTGGAGTCAGTTCCAACTTATAGCAACCCTGAATAGGGTTTCCAGGAGCAGTTGGTGGGCTTGAACTATGGATCTTGCAGTTAGCAGTCCAGTGCTTATCCTACAGAACCACATCAGGAAAGGAATTTTATTCAAAATCTGCATTTTTCATTACTTCATTATTATAAAACAAAGAAGGGACGTATGTATAAAGTCAATTTTTTTGTTTCTTTCAAAACTTTTAGTTGGTTTTTGATGAATATGTCTGTCTTCAATAAAGAGCTCAAGTAAAACCTAGAAAAAAAAATGTTAATATACACTGAGTTTTATGTTGTTGTTGTTGTTGTAAGGTGCCATCGAGTAGGTACCGACTCATAGCGACCTTATGCACAGCAGAACGAAGCACTGACCGATCCTGGGCCAACCTCAGTATTGTTGTCACTTTTGAGCTGAGTCAAATATTGATATTTTCTTTCCCGCCCCCCACCCCACCCCCCGGCAGAAAAAAGAGTGTTTCCAGAAACCGCTCGCATGACCATGCTGAAAAGTCTGCATCAGGGATATTTGAAAACCTATGAGTTAAAGGTGGAAGTTCAAACAACTATATGTCAAAATTCACGACACTACTTTCTTATTCATGGAAGAAAGATGAGGCCTTCTACTCCCGTGAAGATTTACAGCCTCGGAAATCCCCTTATACAGGGGCGTTATGAGTCACAGCGACTGCCTAGACGGCACTTTACACCTTTAATATAAAGTGGCTGCTTTCCCTCAAAAGGAGAAGACATCCATATTCTCTTCGATGATGTATTTCATAAAAATAAAATGTAAACTTTATAGGTAGTTGGTCAAGTAGCTTAGGAAGTGTTTCTTCTCACCTCATGGATTTTCCCACTTTAGACTAGAGCAGTCTTGGAATGCGGTGCTCATTTATGCTCTTGGACAAAATCAATCACTTTCCCAAAATCATTTTCATAAATGGAGGCATTTTCATCCTCCCCAAAGGCAGTCTTTCTGGAGGATATTGAAAAGAATCTGCATTTTTTTTGACAATTCTAATTCTAAAACTGTATTCTAAGAAAATTACTAAGCATGATCATCAATATGAAAGTTTATTGTACTGTTTGTTTAGACAGAATATGATTGGAAACATCCTAAGTGTTCTGTGGCAGGAAAGCGGAGTCCTAGTATAAGATAAGCACTAGACTACAAGGTCGATTTGAACTTCAAGGTGGCAGTTGGAAAACCTATTCAGGGTCACTATGAGATGTTGTTGGGGGGTCTTCCTCTTTTTTGCTGACCCTCCACTTTACCAAGCATGATGCCCTTCTAATTTTGGTTATTCTTATGTTACAAGATTTTAGGATGATTTTAATTGCATTCCTTCTACATTAATACATTTTTATAAGGTATGCATCATTTGTTTAATGAGAAAAATTACATGCATAAAATTATAATTATATATACTTGTTGTTAGTCAGTTCCTACTCATAGTGACCCTGTGAACAGGGTTTCTGAGGAGCAACTGGTGAGCTTGAACTGCCAATCCTGCGGTTCAAACCAACTTTGCAGTTCAGGGCATTAACTCACAGCACCACACATATGTCATAACAGGTAAAACCAGGTTCCACAAGAAGATCACCATGCTTTGGAAATGGAATTCTTGTGTATTGGAGATGATGGACAGATGACAATCTTCTCTGAGTCAGGACAAAATAATCTATTGAGTAGGTACTTGGTGAAAAATGTTTTTGGTACTGTCAAGCAAATGCAGATTAGCTAAAAATATTTGCATGGAACTATTATTAATCTACAATACATTTGAGACTGAATCCTCCTGCACATGAACAATAACAATCAAACCAATCACCGTGGCAAGCATTAGAACTGGGTCCTCAATAACCAGGGCCTTTCACAATCGGCTTGCTGGGCCTTTCTTTCACAGCACTTCTGGATGGATTTGAAACATTTTGGTTAGTAGCCCAGTGCTTAATTATATGCACCCCCCACGGCCTCTTTCAAACTAGAACACCAAACCCAGTGCTGTTGAGTCACTTTTGGACTCATGTTGTTGTTGTTGTTAAGTGCCGTTGAGTCCGTTCTGACTTATAGTGACACTGTATAGTGTTTCCAAGGGGCAGCTGGTGTGTTTGAACTACCAACCTTATAGTTAGAAGTCCAGTGCTTGTCTTATAGCAACACACTAGGACTCCTCCTGACTCACAGCAACCTTTTATAGGGTGTCCAAGGCTGTAAATCTTTACGGGAACAGAAAGTCTCATCTTTCTCCCACGGAGCAGCTGGACCTAGTATTTAGCAGTCCAGTACTTATCCTACAGTGCCACCGGGGTTTCTTACTGTTGTTGTTGTTGTTGTTAAGCGCCATTGAGTCAGTTCTGACTCATAGTGACCCTGTATATAGTTTCAGAGAAGTAGATGGTGGATTTGAACTGATAATCTTATCATTCAAACTGACTGCCTTTCAATGCATTATCCTACAGCACCACATCAGGACTCCAGGTCTTCTTATAGTGACCTATAATTTACATTAGGTCCTCTTTTACTCCAGGTCTGTAGACCCTGGACTTGAACCCTGACTTACTCCAGAGGTAACAACCCTTTGAGAGCAGGATTTCATAGTTAGTCTTGGTAAACCTAGCTGGTTAAAGCTATGATAAGGACTTAGGGTTATGAGAATTAGGGTTATGAACTATCCCACATCTGTCATCTTACATCTGGCACCCCAGCCAAATAAAAATGCATGCTATTGGCAAGCACTGCACTTTCTTCCTTCTACTAATTTGTTTAGGCTCTACGCTCCTTCTAGAAACGTCATCCTCAGTCCACCTTTTGCCCAAACCCAGGACCAAAGACCTTGTTTAAATGCTATGGGTACCAGGAGCCTTTTCTCCTTTTGCTCAAAATCAAACCCACTGCATTCTAGTAGATTCCAACTCTATAGGAGAAAGTAGAATTGTGCATTAGGACTTCCAAGGTTGTAAGTCTTTAAGGAAGCAGATTGCTTCTTCTTTTTCCTCTTGACCAGCTGATTTTCCTTTAAATCATTGACCCTTTGATTAACAGCCTGATGCTTAATTCATTGAGCAACCAGTGCTCCACCCTAACCCCCACCCCAAAGTGGGATGTACTCTTCTTTTCCAAACTCCCTCTCGAAGGCCCAGAAAATCAATCTTTGATCCACAGCCATAGTCAGTGTCTGTCTCCCACCGTTGACCTCTTGCACTTTCATTCTGCTTCAAGTTCTCTTATAAAACAAAAGTCACTAAACAGCCGTAATAATAGGGTCCATAGTAGAGTTGCCACTAAGTCTGACTCACGACAGCCCAGGAGTGTCCGAGTGCAAGTGTGTTTTATAGGGTTCTCCAAGGCTGTGACCTTTTGGGAGCAGATCCCCAAGCTTTTCTTCCCAGGGACATCTGGATGGGTTTAAAACTTTCAATTAGTAGTCAAGTGCTTTATCATTTGCACTCTTCAGAGACTCCTTTGTCAACAAAGTGAAAAGAAAATATAAGTAATCAGATTAAAATTATATTTATTAAGTTACATAGTTCAACCCAACATCTGTGTTGTTATTCCCAGTAATCTGTAAGCTCTTCTGGATCAGGAACAACTCTCCTACTAACACCTGTATACAGAGAGGCCAGTAGACAGCAGGTGCTCAATCTATGTTTACTGCATTGAGGACTTCAATGCTAGTCTCATGGGATAACAGTGACGGATGGCTGTGAGGGTACTGAAAACTAAGGCAGAAATCCCAAACCATCTGTCTCTAATACAAGGCCAGTTGTCTTAGGAAGGGGAACAGGTACATCCACTTGTTGAGGTCTCAGCACACCTGAGCAGTGATGCCAAGGACTCACAATAGTCATGGTTCAGAATGGAGAGGTTTGATTATTGCTGAGCTGAAGCGGTAGGGAAATGAGAAGCGGAGGTGTAACTTTGTAACTTATCTAGCTCTCTTCTCTCAAGTGCAGGGTCAGGAAGTGCCTCTCTACCTTGCCTGAGAAGAAGATGGCCTAGACCTCCAAGGAGAATTAATGCAGGAGACTGTTCCTGTGTCCCTCTGCTATGGACTGCTGGTCACCTCAACATTCTTCCTCTTTGATATGGTAGATGGTATTACCACGGAGGCAATGGGGTTTCCTTCGAGCCCTCCCAGGGCGGGCTGTTCTTTGAGACTGGGACTTTGGGGAACTGAGACAAGAGCCTCCTGAACAGGAAGTGCAGCAAGGAGCCAGACTGGGGTTTGGGTACTGGGGAGGGAAACATTTGGGAGCATCTGGAGGTTCACAAGATCTCTGCTTCTGTTGTGGCATCACTGAACTGATGGTTGAAGCTGCAAGGAAAAGGAGTAAATGGTCAAATTAAGGACCCAGGTAGCCTGAGTGATGGTTTCTCTTCCCAGGAGCTGGTGCTGTTCAACATGGAACCTTACATTTCCAACCTGCTGAAATCTGTCCCAGGTGGTAAAAACAAAGTCGATTCAAAAGGATTTCGGTTGAGAGTTCATCCTTGTGGGAGATGCCAGGAGACTCAACAACCCAGATAACAACGTACTCTTCTTCATAAATGGTGCACATGGTTAAATTCAAGATTTCAAACAGAAAAGTTGGAAGTTTGAACCCACCTAGAGTCACCTTGGAAGAAAAGCTTGGTGATGGTTTGCTTTTGAAAGGTAGAAGCCATTGAAAGCCCTATTGAGGGGTAGTTCTACTCTGCAACACATGGGTCACCATGAGCTAGAATTGACTCAGTGGCAACTGGTAAAACAGAAAAGGAAACTGTAGCCTAGTTGAGTTGATAACTCATTTTCCCAGGCCAGTGTCCACCATAGTCAAGCATATGGACAGTGTAACTCCAGATCTTATGGCAAGAAGAGTCAACTCTCTGCTCTCCCCTCAGTCTCATTTTGCACTGAACCTTCTCTAGTCTGAGGGTCTCTTCTCTGTTTCTCTGGCCTTCTAGATCCTATGATTAGATCCTTTGGGTTCTTTTGCAGGGACCTCCATCCCTCCCCTTCTTCCTTCCCCCAAACTCTCCTACCTAGATTTTCAGCTCCCTGGGAAGAGTCAAGAAGAGAGACTGGGCAGCACCTGAGTGAGAAACATCCAAGTGTCTCTCCACCCAGAAGCAACCTACCCTAGTGGAAGATGTGTGGACAAGTCATCCCAGGAGGAGTCTGGAGCCTGGAGCCTTGTGAGGCCTGGAAGGGAGAGGCCCTTTTATACAGTCCTGCAACTGATGCCTTCAGGCTGTTTGTTATTGGAAGGCAGCCAAAAAATGGATGATCTATCTGAATGTTTCACAATTCTCAGAGCTAGATTCTTTCGCTTGGATGTGAGTAAAAAAAAAATTCCCATGTAATTGAGTATCCAGAGGTCTGGGACCTTCAGATTTGCCTGAATTGGAATGACTACAGTGAACGAGTCTGTGTAACCTCCATGGGGCCTGATTTGGGATAAGATTGCTGTTGAGTTCCTTCTGGGATTGGAGGGGAAGAGTCAGGTTCAGTACCACACCGAGGAAGACCGTGTCTTGTTTACCTCCCACCTATCATTCATGCCTTTCAAAGTTCAACCAGATCTGAGTCCTTCCTCCTTTGAACTCCACAGATATCTCTCACCTTTGTCGTTGCTGTGGGTCATGTTGACCTAGATACCTGTTCTATCTCCTCTCTTAAACAGTTCCCTCATGATAGAGACCTTTTCTTATCACCTCTGCATTCCGGGAGCCTGATATTATGCCTAAAACAAAACAGGTGCTCATTAGTGTCTGTTGAATTAACATTCTACTTCTATGAGAATTAGACTTGGTGCTTTGGGAGAAAAAAAAATGTGAGGGAAATAAAATCCAGTTCATTTTCCTATTGTAGATCAGATCTTGACTTCTTGTTTTTATTATCCTCACCTAAGACATTTGTGAATACTCTTTCATAAATCGTACAGAGAAATATGTGGTTAGATCACATATAATACAACATGTAAGGGTGGAGAATAAACATCTGTAAATTTTGCTCTCTTAAGTGCAAAGGGGGGCCTTTGGAGGGGATTTCCTCAGAGTGAAACGTTTTTGTTGATCTCTCATGAAAATCAATATCACCATCTGTTGGCTATGCTTGAAGAGGGAACCTACCCACTTCACTGAGTCAATTCTGTCTTATTGTGACCCTACTGGCCACAGTAGAGCTGCTCCATAGGATTTATAAGATAGCAAATCTTGATTGGAGCAGATAGTGTCATCTTTCTCCCATGAAGCAGCTGGTGGCTTGGAATCACTGATGACTTAGCTGTCCAACACTTAACCACTGCTCCACCAGGGCTCCTTTAAAGAGGGAACACTCATCTAAGGACAGTCTCTCACCTCTGGATGTTCTAGTCTAAGAATCATTTATGGTATGCACAGCTAAGCAAAGAGGTATTAGTGAAACTTCATGGTGTTAAAAACTGTGTCTTGCCTGGCTCTATGTTCCCATTGCCTGATAAATAGTCTGTGCTCCAGAAACAGTTGATGAGCAAATGTAAAAAATGAGTAACTATAAGATGTACTCTAATTATAGGACCAACTGCCAGAATTGACAATTTCAGGATACAGAGTGTAGCTTTTTTGAGATCCATGAGCTGTTCTCTCCTCTGATAGACTTACACATGCAGCCCGTTTCAGATCAGAACCCTGAAAGTTTAATGTTCTCTTCCACTTATATTTAAAGTCTCATTCCAGTTGTCTTCATGCTTCAGGCTATTCTATGAGTATGAATCCATAACTTTGTATTTATGGTGGTAGTGTTGTATACCATCAAGTCACTTCTCATTCATAGCAACTCTGTATAGGGTTTCCAGGTACCAACTATATGCTGAACATGAAGGTGCTCTGGTGGCACAGTGGTTAAACACTTGGTAATGGGTTTGAAACCACAGCATCTCTTTTGGAGAAAAGACCTGATAATCTGCTACTGTAAAGATAAAAGTCTAGAAAACCTTATGAATCAGTCCTACTGCATCATATAGGGTCTCTATTAGTTGGAATGGACTCAATGGCACCCCGCAACAACTGAACACAAAGGATAGTAAAGCCTTCCTCTTGTGCTTCAACATTTTAAAAAGAAGCCGCAGCCATGTTATCAGATAAGACAGTGGGGGAAACAGGCGGATGAATTCTGGAAGTAGATTCAGAATGGGAATAGTCAGTTCTAAGATATCGAACTGGAGTGATAGTGTCTTAAGTAACTTGACTCCCACTATTAACTAAAGTAGATGTCAGAAGAGACTCTGAAATTTGGTTTTGAATGTAGAGAGCTAAAGCAAATAAAATAAATGATGAAGTAAAAAAGCCGAACAGAAAATCTCAAATAATAGCTTGAGAAGACAAAGTAAAGTGTTACAATAAAATATATACATACCTGGAGATAGAAAACCAAAAAAGAGAAGAACATACTCAGACTTTCTGAAGCTGAAATAACTGAAGGAAAATTCAAACCTCAGGTTACACTATTGAAGGGTTCTATGGGCAAAGTTCACCACTAATGTGTCCATTTGTATACTGTGGTGGTTTGGACATTGCTGTGATGCTGGAAACTATGTCATGGGTATTTAACTACCAGCAGGGTCACCCACAGTGGACAGTTTTCAGCAGAGCTTCCAGACTAAGACAGACTAGAAAAGAGAAGCAGACCACTTCTGAAGGGTTAGCCATTGAAAACCTTATAAATGACAGTGGAACTTTTTCTGATATAGCAATAGGAGATGAACCCCTAAGATTGGAAGGCACTCAAAATATGACTAGGGAAGAGCTGGCTCCTCAAAATACACTTAACCTTAATGACGTAGATGGAGAACAGCTGTCAGGACCTTCATTCACTGATACAATACAACTCAAAATGGGAAGAGACAGCTGCAAACAACTATTAACAGTCAGAATATGGGGTGTATGAAGTATGAATCTAGGAAAACAGAAAGAGATCAAAAAATGAAATGGAACACATAAAGATCAATATCCTAGGCATTAGTGAGTTCAAATGAACTGGTATCAGTCATTTAAAAACAAATAATTATACAGTTTATTTTGTTGTTGTTGTTAGGTGCCATCGAGT